ATCCTTGACAGTGATTCTAACACAAACACTAAAATGAATTTCCAAAATGTAAAAAACAATCAGCAGCTAAAGATACAATCGGTGCTAACAATGTAGTAATCGGTAACTTATCAATCAACAACATTGATATTTAGCTTGACTTTCATCTGGAATAGTATCATATTTGTCTCAATATGTGCGAAGCAACTAATATTATTATGTTAACACGTTACATTTAGCAGCTAAAAGTGATGAAAAAAAGCCTTTAATCAGTAATGGAGTGCCACAGGGCTCTACCTTTGGTCTTCTACTATTTATATTGAATTTAAATTACATTTTTGTGATGTCATACAATATTATACCACATTTACTTATAATATAAGATACATCATACTACAGTAGAAATGGTTAATGCACACACATGTCAATCATCTTTAACCGCTAAAACAAGTTCAAAATAGTAAATTAAAGGAAAATCAATAACTGAACATAAGATAATCATTGAGTTTGTTTTTTTTCCAACTCAAAAAGCTGACCTGCACATTCAAGAGTATCCGTCTCATTACTCAGTCAGATATACAGTATGTGGTCACATCCAAAGTAATGTTTTACTTATCAACAGGCTATCCCAAAGATTTCCAGATATTTCCTTTTAATCTTACACTTATTTCCAATACAGATGTTAGCTTACAGTACAAAGCCTTCTCTACATCTGCTCATAACCTTTAGAACTTTAAATTCTAATCCAACTCTCATCCTGATTCAGTGTTTTGTTTGCAGCATTGTAGTTTTCCCGCTCCGCGTAGAAACAGTAGAGGTAAAATCAAACCGCTGGGCAGAGCGAACCAGAATGAAAACATTATAACAACACACACAGTACTGGTGCTCAGTAATGTTGAAACACTCAATGCATAGGTGATCAGACTTCCCCCAAACCTCAACAACAGCGCTCCCATTATGGCCATGATGGTGTAGAAAGCCCTCTGCTTTGATTGGTCAACCCGCTCCCTGGTCCCGCCCCCTTCCCCTGGCCCTGGACGCTTGAGAACATAAAGAACAGAAATGCTGCAGAAAAAGAGGACACACAAGATTAAAACCAAAAAGCAGAAACCCAAGGTTTTTGTTAAATCACTGCTGCCTTTATAATAAACAGCCAGATATCCGATGCTGAGAAACCAGACACATCCAATGCTGATGTTCCTGATCCTGACTCCGCCCCCCTGCCTCAGTCCCAGGTAGGTGAGGGGGTGAACAACAGCCAGGTAGCGCTCCACACAGGTGAGCAGGTTAAAGAGAGCCTTTCCGGTCAAGCTGACATTCAAAAGTGAAATCCCAACCTCCGGTATCACCTCGTCATTGAAATATGCGCTAATGAAGTGGAGGGCAAGCCCCAGTAGTTCAATCAGCTGCATGAAGATTAAGTGATAGGTGAAGTGGTCAGAGTGACTTGTAGCCGTTGAACTTGAGCGTGGTTTCCTCGACTTCTGGAATCCCAGGTACAGGACGAGGATGATGAGTGGGAGTAGGAGGAGGGTGTATAATATGACGGCAGCAAAGAGGACGTAGACACTCATTACGAACCTTAAATATTCGTAATTATTTACAAAGTGAGAAGAGGAGTTGTTTGGAGAGTCGGGTGAGGGAGGATCGAGGGGATCATCAAAGTAAGAAGAGTTGACAGACATGTTTGTGTAAATGGAGGCCTGGGAAGAAGAAAGAGAGGAATCACCAATAAAAAGGGAAGGGGGTGTTGAGGAGAGAGAGACACAATGTTACCTTCTGTTAATCTTGCAGAAACGATAACATGGATTTCAGAGAGATTACCTGTGTTGGAGACGCACTGATTGCCATACGTGATTATGTAACTGTTTTCTTAGTGCTGTGTTGCGTATGGTTTAGGGTTTTTGTGTTAATATTAAAGATATCACAAAAAACTGTTACTTTGGTTCTCACTCAATTACTTTTGTTACCCCATGCTGGCTGGCTCGCCAATTAAACGTCGTAAGAAAGAATTACGGCTTCCTCGCAAACTTTTTACATTTGTGACAATTCAGAGCAGACCCTGGGATCATACTGCCAATCAAACCACCCTAGCTTCCCATTGGATGAACTTGGACAGAGGACGATACGCCACCTCAAATCAAACATTTAACAATGATAGTGATTTCCCAACATATTTGTTTATAAAAAAGACTGACTATGGATCTTAATGTGTGAGAACATTAAAGTGCAAACAAACAGCAGACCAGTTTTAATCAAAGTAAAAAAAACTAAATCACCTTGGAAATAAAGATAATCTCAATTCATCAGCTTTAACATCATCAACAGTCTAGTCCAAAGTGAATACACACAAATGACTAAATATCATCTCAAAATATCTGAAAGTAAATACTATATTTATATAGATATAATTTGTTTTTAAAGATCACCCACCTCAGCAGAGCTTCGTCTGATCGTCCTTCTTCAGCGTCTCCAAACTCTCTGACTGCCGTTCACTGCGATCTGATCCAAATATATTCAAATTCACATCTGTCATCAAGGTGTGTGAAGCACAGGTGAGAGCAGGACTGTGTTTTTCATGCATACTTAATAAAACCTTTTTTACAGTAGATTCAAACAGGCAAATGTATTCCTTTGCAGTATCGTGTTAACAGGAGGCCAGACTGCAGGGAAAACAGCAGCGTTATTTGAATATCAGTCAAATTATCATCTGTTTCTTATTTCTATAGAAATGACGCAGCAAAAACACAACAGAACACACAGAGTAAGTCATTAAGACATTTATTCATTCTTTAAAATAAAGTGATTACATAAATTGTTATACCATAACATGATTATACAACATTAACTTATAATATAAGATCCATTATATTAGAACTGGTTGGTGACATTGTTTTTAGTATCTTAAGCATCACAAACTCTCACGATCTTTGTGTGTTATTGGACGTCTGGGATCCGTCCCTCGAGGGGGGGGGTTCTTTCACGATACTTATGTTATGTCACGGTTTTAGTTTTGTATGTCTAGGTTTGGGTTTATTTTGCTGTTCTGTTCTCCCTGTTTCATGTTTTCCTCCTTGTTTCTTGTCTGGTCCTTCTCCCTGTGTTTTCCTCCCTGTCGTTAGTTTCCCTGGTGTGTCTAATTGTCTGATTGTGTTCACCTGTTGCCCTTGTGTTTCTCCTCCCCTGCCCGGCTATTTCTCGTCTCGTGATTACCCCTCCCTGTATTTAGTCTTGTCTCTTCCTGTGTTCGGTGTCGGTTCATTGTTTGTTTGTCCTCCCTTCACGTTCTCATGTTTTTTCTCTCCGGTCTTCCTCCATGTTTTTCACGGTCAGTTTTTATGTTATTGTTTTCCTGAGCTACCGTTTGATTCATGCCATGTTTTTGTGATCAGCTTTGCAATAAAGCTCGCTTTTTGTTTTCTTTACCAACTTACCTTTTTTTGTAGTCTGCTTTTGGGTCCTACCTTTCCCATACCGTAACAACATTCACTTTACTTATTGCATTTTCACTACATGCATGTCTCCTCACTGTGTAACCCTGCATGACTTTGTAACTGTGCATAGTGAGAGTTCCACTGAAAGGGGAAAATCCTGTCAGAGTTTCTTTAAAGCAGCCCTTTGATTATCATAGATCCGCCCAGTGGTTATCCAGTTACCGGCCTCTCTTCAGCTATTGGCTGGAAGGAGCTAATTATGCAAGGTAGTGAATCCCTGTGGGGGAGGTGGGGCCAAAACTGAAAGAACTCCTTTGGCAGGCAGAATAGAGCTTTTATTGAGGATATTTCTAAGCTGACCATCAGGGACCAAATCGCTGGATTGTTAAAAAAAAAAAAACACATCTCAGCTGAATTACGCTGCTCGCTCTCTTTCATTCCTCCCCTCTTTTCATTTTAGTGAGACGGAGTGTAGCTTATGCAGTACCTAGCAGCAAGCAGAATGCAAGGAATCTACAGTATTCCCCTGTCTCACACAAGAAGCCCAGTTCACTACTGAAGGACAAGAGAGGGGAGAAGAGGCAGAGCCAGAGAGCAGTCAGGGGAGGATTCACACTGCTGAGGTTGAGAGGAGGAACGCAGCGTCTTGTCTTGTTCTACTCTGCTCTTGTTGCCTCAGGTGTGTGTGCTCCTCCCTCCCCTCTGCAGTGCCTGCTGTCAGCTCCATCCCTGGGTGGCTGAGGCCATGGTGTTGGTGCTACAAGCCCTGCTGCCCTGCTTCTGCACCCTGCTCTCCCTGGAACTGCTGCCTGGGGTGGAACCCGCCGTGCCCCTGGAGGACTTCTACCCCTTTGGCCAGGACGTGGGGGACTCCCAGACCATCGCTCAGGACGACGGAGGCTCCCGGCTCGTGAAGATCTCTGTTGCTTTCCCCTTCTTTGGAGACAGGCACACAGGACTCTATGTGAGTACAGAGCAGTTTGTTATTACTGTGTGTTTATGTCTTCTTATGTGTGTGTATGCATGCACTTTGCAGTTGGCAATTGAAACTGACATGGTGTGGATTGTATAAGAGCCTCAGGGAGATGAGATCTGGCATTCTGCCAAACACTACATTGCTGTGCCCTTTGAGAGTTTGCATGTGTTGGTGTGTGTCTCACAAGCTCTGGTGTGTAACCTCATTTGTAGAATATCATGTTTTTCTCCCCTTGGGTGGAATCAAAATCCTCCATGACATTCTCTGAGTGCACCGAGGGAATGTGTGTGAGAAACTATTAGCAGAACAGTGGTAAGCCCTGTTCTAATAAGTCTACAATGAGCTGTTAAAGGAATTGACAGTTTGTGTTCTCACTGTTGCTGCGGATGGAGCATCTGTGAGCAGTTCTTTTTAGGAGAGAGAGTAGGGGGGAAATATGCTTGCCGGAGAGAGAGAGTGAGAAACAGTGCTCATGGGAGGAAGCTGAATGGTTTGACAAGGACTTTCGCGCACCACACTGAAACACACTTTGATCTTCCTTTGTCATGTATTGGGTTCAGTTCCAGCGCATGGAAAGGCAGAACTCCCTTAAATCAACACCACCTGTTGTGGTTATGCATCCGCGTGGGCTTTCAGATTCCCCTCCTTCTCGCTCCGAGCCCCGCCTGCCCCCTCCCTGTTCAAACCATGGGCAGGGGAGCCCGAGGAACCATGGCAACAATGGGCAAGGTCAAAGGTCATCGTTCTAATCTAAGCATCTACACCAAGGGGGTGATGTCAGTCTTCCAATAAAGACATTTTTAAAACTCTTTTGCATCTACACAAAGTGCATAGACACTGGCACAGTATTTTTAAGTGCAGGGTTTGAGTTTTGTGTCTTTTATAAACTCAACACTAGTTACTCACAAATCCTCAAATCAATCAGCAGAGCCAGGACCCCTTGTTGTCACTCTATAATGCACTGGGTGCTTCTTTGGAGTTCTTTTTTAAACAGTCATGATAGTCTGATAGACTTGAACAAGTGGTTAACCTTATGCGACATATGTGAAACAAGTTTAATATTTAATGCACATACCTTTGTTTAAGTGTTTTAAGTAAGTTAAATGTGTTTCAAACGTGATGTTAGGTAAATAAACACGTATGAAGAAATGTAAGTCTGTTGTGTAGGTGATGTAGGATAAATGTTTATCATATTTAATGTAAGCTAACTATATACGGGTGTTGCGTAAGTAAGGAGAGTGTGCTAGTAGTTGGCTAGCTTAAGGCAACACTACTGTTTGTTTTAGGAAAAGTCATGGTTTTGGTTCAAATTAATGTTCGTTTGAACTTAATTTAAATACGATGAGAATGTTACGTTTGTGACGTAAGATAACTTATATTTGTATATCATTTAAAACAAGCCAACATTGACTTTTAGTTTCCTAACGGAGCCTACTCATGGGTAAATTCCTGTATTTGTTTAACTTATCTATCCATCAATCCACCCCTTGCTCTTTATGTGACTTCATCTGAACCCCTCCTTTGCACTTGTCATTATTACTATGGCCACTGGAGGCAGCCCTGCATAAACAGAACGGACAGTAGGGGGATGCAGATAGTTATATTTGGACACGTGGGGCCACAGACCAAGCTGCAACACTTTACAAGTTGGGAATGAGAATGCCCTGAAACTCACTCTTGGAGTTTGTTTGTATCCCAATTGCATTCCAATTGTGGTCCTTCCCAGATTTGAATGGATTTGAGCACATCACTTATCATGTGATAAAACTGATACACATCATTTGAATTGTACAAGATAACACAAGTTACCGGTTGCTTGGCTTGTTGATCTCATATTGATTCTGATCTGATAGAGATCAAATCTGAGAAGTCCACACTCTGACATATGCCGTGTGGTGGTGATGTGATACCCTGCATCTCATTAGAAATGTAGTTCCGTAGTCACACAAGGCATTTCAGATTGTGACAGGCACTTGAAATTACAGTCACTCATTTGAATGCCTCACCTGAATCCATTAAACATTAGAAGGCGAAGCACAGAGGCCCACATGGTGTTCTCCGCCCGAGAGCTTTGAACAGTTCATATTTCAGTGAGGTGCTACGTTTGTGTGAATAGTGTGTTCCCATCCACATGGAAGCAGGAGAACCACACTGATTTAAGATGGCTTGTGGGCGCTGTCTTTCTCTATTATCATAACTGGTCCTGTTAAGGAATACCTTAAAACCCCTCAAAACAAATCCCTTTAAAACATACCCTCCTTTTAGCAGTTGTGATCAAGTCACATAGCAGTGGCAGAAGTGTGACACTTGGTTACAGAAGTTTGTATCTCACAGGAACAGATCCCACACATCCCTGTACAAACATGCACCCCCCTGTCCTGCTCCTGTCCTACTTGTGCCTCCTGGTAACCAGGCTGTCCCTCTGTTATGGTTTGTGTCTGGGAGTTTTCACATGTTGCTGGGATCTCTCCTCCTCCAGGTCCCCCATCCCCTCCTCCCACGCCTCAGATAACATGGCAGGGGTCTTCCCCCTGGAACTGTCCAGCTGCTTTATCTGAGAAATGACCAATGACTTTAACAGAACACAGATGTATCTGCAAAGCGTCTTCTAGGCTTCCAAACAATGCAGTTCATGGATTAACTTCTCTTAAGGATGACCAGTGTAAAGAACATGAAGGACGATGTTCAAGGTCAGAGAGGAAAGAACAACATTTTGAAAGCAGATGTGAGAATACATGATTATGATTAATGGTATTTATTGTGGATGCATAAACTCATTGGAAAAAACGTTTCTAGGGCTTGTTGTAAATGTTTATATTCTAAAACATGTTGTGTTTAGTATTCAAATCTTCAACATGCTGTGGTATTTGTCAACATTCAAATCAATTTTTCAAGAATCCTGCCAAGATCATGCTAAAGAGTAACTTTGCTTCACAGATTGCACATCTGCTAGTGCTCATCTGCTCTTCAAAAGACGTCCAACACTTCAGTTGGAGCATTTTCATTCACTCACTTTCACTCACCACTCTGTATGGCCCAAAGATTTGTGCTGAAGTTTGATCCGTGGTACTCTGAATGGGTGCTTTCTATATGCATGTGTGGGATAAGAGTTATTTTAACAGTTCATATGCAACTGACAAGATTTGTCTGCACATACTTCAAAAAAGCCTGAAAGTCTTCAAGTAAATGATGTCCTTCAAAGGATCAGCTTTGAACTTTCTTATGGAGAGTTCAGTTAGAAGATACCACACTAAAGTCTGCATATAAACTATGAAGCTAGAGATCAAAAGCTTAGCTCAGCACAAACACTGGGCGCTTGTTTGTGTGAAACTGGCAAGTTGTGGTTTTACAGGACAGTTTTTACCAGACTGTGTCTTGGCCAGAGCGCAGTGACTTCCTGCAGCCTCTGCTGGTTGCCTCTTAGGCACTTTGTGATGACAAGACTCCGGGAAGTCAACGCGCCCTGCCAACAAATAATCCGCTGCATCTTCTCATCTAGTTCTTGGCAGGAAAGAAAATAAGCCCATTTCCCGAAATATCCAACTTTTCAATTGAGATTAATATAAAACATTTTCAGATTTAATACCTACAAACAACTACATCCGTTTTATATATTTTCCCAATGTTTACAACCAAGTTCAAACCCTCTAGTTGCTTTAACTCCCGGGGAAACACAAGACACACCACTTTTGTTAACTATTGTTGTCTGCTCTCATGATGCCCATGTGAACAGCGCTGAGCTGCACTGGTTGTACTTCCCAACGTTAGCTAGCTACAGTAGCTGTATGGGTACTCGTCTTGTCCAATGGTATGTTAGCAAGTTAATGTTACGTTAGCAAAACATGACTTGTGGCTAATTAATTAGAATAGATATCTAACGTACATAAACAGAACGTTAATACAACTTTAACACATTCTCTTTAGTAGTTATTCTTTCTGCCTGATCAGATTTTCCTCGTCAATGCTGGTTATGTCACATGTGAAAACAACAACTTAAATGAACCCATTCTATTTCACCACGTCATGAAAGTTTGTCTTTTGTTATAGTTTCTTTTTAGAGACCTCTAGCCAAAACATTTCGCTTACTAAATTACTTCAAATGATTAGATAGCATGTTACTGGTTTACGATGTTATTATACGTGTAGGTTTCTTTGTGCACTGATGATAGTTCATACATTCCAAGAAGTGTGTTTGAAATGGTTTGAGTATCCTCTTGTGTATTTTTTATTTACTCAACGGAGGAATTCTTCCTCTGTAATCTTCTTTAGCAAGCAAAATGATAGTTGCAAAAATGAACACTACAACAAACCTTCAGAACCAAGAAGGTTTCAATGGGTGTTTTTGCTTAGTCTTTACCATTTGTAGATAAAAGGGCTAAGGAAACAGGCCAAGTGCAAAGACTGTGGTCATTTCCTTCAGTCTCATCAAATAATTGTAAAAGTTTGTAACTGTGAAACCTCAGTTTTGACACGGAACACTAATGTATTCCTGCCCTGATTCATGGGCACCTTTTCATTTTGGGTTTTTGCTTTGGCTGACTCAAGCCAGATGAAAGTTTATTTTAGTCCATAAATTGCTTGGCTCTAAAGAAAACCAAAAAAGCTCATTCCTGGATATATCCGGAAAATAACTTCCCAAAAAATAACAAGGGAGTCGTAGAGTGGAGTGGCACCATTGAGAGTGAGGGAAAGAGTTATGGGGGAGAGGTACTTCTTCCAAGGTTTGCTGATCTCACCTCTCTCCCCTGTGATCCTGACCTTGGTCATGTTACAGCATAACACAAGGCAGCTCTGAACCCATTCACTCTCTCCCATTAGTGTGATGCATATGCACCCTTTACTGAGTGTCTGCACCAGGTTATAGCCTTGTTTAAATCCATGAGAAAAAGTCTGTGAAAACTATGTTGTAAGTTCAAATTCCTCTAAGGTCATTGACATATCAAAGCAGTCCTTAAAACATCTTAACAAGTAAGAAATACACTTGTTCAAGCTATTCCAGATGCCTCTAAAGATTGGATTAGGCATTTCAACTTATTCCAGCATTGGAAAATAAACTCTCTTTAGTGTTGAGCATGATTTCATACACTAATTTTGCTGCTGTAAGATGGGTGACTTCCAGACTGCTGCCACCACAGGTCTCATTAGTGGGCATGTTGGTGTGGGAGGTGTGTCAAAGTCAGCTTTATTGTCAAGAATTCTACATGTTGTACATCCAGAAATATCGTTTCTCGCAGTACAGTGTGACATATATACAGTACATCAAACAAAAAAACGAAAAGTGCCTAGATAACCGGGGTATACATTAAACAAAATAAAGTGCCTAGATAACCGGGGTATACAGTTCAAAATGTTAATTAATATAATATATTTCATCCTTCCATCCTTCTATTCATCCAACACTGTGACCTCTCTCTTGTTTTTCTCCCGTTATATGATAGCGCTCTGGCTGACCCCCGGGCCCTGCCCCTGCAGCCGGTCCTCTTTCTCCCCACATCAGCCATGTTCTCACCACGCTGATGCAGAGGGGAAGACTGTGGTCGGGCAATTAACTTAGCCCCTGTGCCGTGCCAAACAAAACTTCCTCTGTTGTTTTTACAGCAAAGTCCTGCAAATGATGGTTTTCATTCATGCAGGGAGCAAAGCCGATCCATCTGACGTTGCTTTGTCGCTGTCACATGCCACTAATGCAGAGAGTCAAAGGTCAAGCCGGGGACTAGGATAAACAGGATAGATGCCATGGTGCATCTCCTGTTGTTGATCCAGAATATTTGTATGAAAGAATGTATGCCTTCAGTGGACATTGTCAACCCTTAAGCCTGTAGATCATTTCATTGGTGGACCTTACCTGTGATATGTTTCTGATATAAGTACACGCAGGGTAAAGTACTCTACTCATTTCCAATCATAATCTTTCATTAAAAATACAATTGAACACATTGCAACGTGCTACTTTAGAATCTACTACATGAATCAGTTGTGTCTCCTCTCTCTTCGACATCCCTCATTAACTTTGTGGACCCTACTTCCTTTTTATTCATCATTTGTAGCTTTTCCTGCAACTCACAATAACTCTTTTATCTAGCATCATTGCAATAAACCCTCTTAAACACAAACAATTGTCACATTTACTGTCCTGGTTCTGTGGCTTTCGGCTTGCTGTTGCTCTATCAATCCTGAGTTTAAAAATAAGAATTATTGTCATTATACATGTAAAGTGTCAGTAATTGCAAAAAATACCCATCTTAATTGTTTGAATTGCAGATCAAAATCCAAAGATATTTGATTTGCAATGAAAAAAATCTCCACCTTTGTGAGTGAAAGTTAATTTATTAAATGGTTTTCTGTTGCCTGACAGCAATGAGTTGCTTAATTGCTTCTGCAATACACATTGACCTGCCCAAGTTGATATTTTAGGAAGTTTATATTATACAATACTTCAGTCTATATCTGCAGTGCTGAGTGTGCATTTCTCACAGAGGAGATGTGTGTACGGTGGGTTCATTTATTTGGCTACTTTGCTGTTGGCAGACATCTGTGACGTGAGCAGCACACACTTGTTTTGTTCAGCTTCTGTCATTTCATGGAGTAAAGAAAGTGTCTGTTTGCGCAGGAAGTACAAACATCCGTTAAGGGAGTGTCAGCTTCCCCTTGCTGCTGTTAGCCCCGGGAGGTCAGAACACCTCTGTTTGACCACCTTTTCCTGTTCTCATCACTTCTACTCTAACCCCTCCTAACCGCACAAACAGGTCCCAGTGGCTTCTTCATTTTGAACAAAATATATCACTATTCACATTCCAAATCTGTTCTCCTCAGGTCAACAACAATGGCCTTGTATCTTTCCTGAGGGAGGTGTCCCAGTTCACTCCTGTAGCATTTCCGATCGCGGGGGACAGAAGGGTTGTGGCGCCATTCTGGGCAGATGTGGATAACCGTCGAGCAGGGAGAGTGTTCTATAGAGAGAGCCAGGAGCCCTCCAGCCTGAGGAGGGCCTCAGGAGAAGTCAAGACGTACTTTTCAGAGTTCCCCAACTTCAATGCAACATGGGTCCTCATCGCTACATGGCACCAAGTGACTTTCTTTGGAGGCAGCTCTCTCACACCGGTATAACTCACACTAAACTTCACAGCTGTCCCTCTATATGTGACTGCTAAACAGCCCTGATTCTCTAGGTTTGATTCAGTACCTAGATCAGTGATTCTTAAGCAGGGTGTGCAAGGGACATTACTTAAACAGGCCAACCTGGCACAGGCCGAAGATTAGCACATTTTGGGGGGGGGGATTTTTTTCAAAATAAGGCTCAATTAGTTTATAAAATAGAATTTGCGATTTTATTTTAAAATTACATCCAATATACAGTGTTTGTGTTGAGAAATAATGCATTTAATATTGTCTTATTATTCTTCAGTAAATGGATTGGCACACACCTACACAGACCTGTGTCAGTTACAACTTTATATAACTTCTTATGTTACCAGAAAGAGTATGATAAAAACCTAGTTTGAACGCAGATAAGTTGAAAGAGTTAATTGAATGTAATAAACAAACTGTTTAAAGATCCACTCTAAGATATAGTAGTAATAATGCAAACTTGTTTAAAAAAAATATTTTTAACAATATTAACTTTTTGCAGTGTAACTTAACATCAACATAAAAAATCAGCCGAAATAAACACGTAAAAAAAATGGATATTTCAGTTTATTTGATAAGAAACTACTGGAATCCACTGGCCTAGATGATCTCAGATTCCAGGAAATAGCATTCTTGTTAGCAGTTCACTTTGGGTTGTAATTATTGTTTGTGTTAAGCTAATTTGTTGCTATCTGCCTCACCAACAGGCCCAGATGAGTCTATTATGTCTGTAGCCTGAGTGAGATTAAGCAATCTGCAAAACAAGAAGTCATTTCATTTTTTTTCATTTCCATCTTTATTTTGAACAGATAAATAAAAAAAGTGAAAAACAGAATACCGTATTGTTATAATACAGTATTTATCAATATCATATTTATATATTCAACAAAAAATGTGCATATTCATAATAATAAATCATATGTGTCCAAACGGAGCAGGAGGAAGCAAATGCTTATTAATTCCCACCCCTTACTTACTGCTGATCAATGATTATCCTTTCAATCATTTCTGCAAGTTATTCCTACTCACATATTTACATTTATACATACATTTACAATCATTTCTCATCTTCAATCACCTTTCTTCATTCTCATAGTCTTCCAAAAAAGTGTTTCTGTCAGATACATGTATTTGACATAATTTTGTGGAATCAGGAAATGGTTGAACTGAGCCTGTTCCTTTCTATGCAGGTAAATACTTTCCAAGTGGTGCTCATTACAGACGGAGAGCTTTCCTTCACTATATTCCAGTACAATAACATCACTTGGACCACAGGCATGCATTCCAGCAGTGGAGGAAACCTGGCTGGGCTGGGAGGGATTGCAGCACAGGTAAGATCACCTTGTAGTGGACTCAAGGACATATTTCACCATTGTGTTATTACATTAGATAAGATTAGATTATAACACATATTACTAAGAAATACAGTTTGCATTCAACCAGAATTGCAAAGAGTAGAAGTGCAGATGAGGTTACAGTTTATTCAGTTATATGGGTTACAGTATATACAGGTTGTTCCATGAGATACATGGTTTTATAAATATTAAATATATACTGTATTTACAGATAAAAGTGCTAGGTTAAAGCATTTATGGATCAAATGTAGGGTTTCAGGCATAGTTAAATGCAGATTGAATAAATATTTAATACAGTGAAATAAATATGTGCAAAAAGCAGTGTACAGTAAGGTCCCTGAGTGTGAGGAGCTGTGTGTAGAAGCCCCATGAGTATGAAAGGGGTGTGTGTTGGCGGGCTAGTGCAGTAGTTCGAAGGTCATGGGTGGGGAGGGTAGTGGGCTAGTTCTGAGCTTAAGAATTCAGCAGGGTTATGTTGTTGTGGAAGAAACTGTTCCTGAGCCTGCTGCTTCGGGATCTACACAGCCCATGTTGTTGTGTGCGGGGTCAATGATGGTGCTTTGAGCTTTCTTTTCTCAAAAAGTAGAGGTGCTGCTGTGACTTTTTAACCACACTGGAGGCGTTGAGCGACCAAGAGAGTTCCTCATAGATTTGAGAGATTTTAAAGGTGGAGACTTGTCCACCTTAGTCCCATTATGTAAATGGGGGTGTGTCCGCAGCCTTAGGTCTTGGAGTACTATGGTGTTGTTGAGGGGAAGGTTATTATAAGCACACCAGTAGCTGAACTTCCTTCCTGTAGGCTGATTCATTGCTGTTAGTAATCAGGCCTACTACCGTGGTCTCATCTGTGAACTTGATGATAGTGTTGGAGGACGCTGTGGAACCCAGTGTTCAGGTTCAGAGTGGAGGGAGGGGGGGGGGGGGCGTTAAACCTGACAGCCTGGGGTCTGTTGATCAGAAGGGCCAGTGTCCAGGCAGTGGCATCATCCTAATGTCGGAGTTGTCCAGGTGATTCAGGGCAAGTTTAAGAACCGTTGATATTTCATCCTCAGTTGATCTGTTGGGACGAGGTGTGGGAGAGTTGATCTTGTTGGGTTTTTGCTGTGTTAATAAAAGACACAAATCGTGTGCAGTCAAAAATAGTGTTGTTTGTAATGTAATGATGTTTGGTGAACAGTGGAGGACAAAAATTGCGATGTACAGGATGACATGTGAAGAAACAAAGCAGTTGTTTTTAGATGTCTGGACTCTGATTCAGCCGTCTCTTGATGTCTGCCTTGTCGTTCCTCTCCTCCCAGGCAGGTTTCAATGCTGGTGATGGTAAGCGCTATTTCAACATTCCCGGCTCTCGCACTGCTGATGTGGTAAATGTCGAGGGAACCACTAACGTGGGCCAACCGGACTGCCAAGGC